TGTGGGTTTTTTTCCCTAAATTACAGATCCAGTGGTGAGTATATCAATGGAGCAAGGGATACACATATATGGCTTTGTTATGAAAATAAGGCTCATTTTCTTTAAAGCAAGTTTTAACCAGGTAGTACAAATACACATTTATCTAAGGCATTCACATCATCCTCATCATCACCATACCTGAGGGCCTCAAAATTCCTTCTTTGCACCATCAACCCTGCCTTTCTGTGGGAAGAGTATGTGGGTGTTTCTTTGCACAATTAGCAGTTAAAGATATACACAAAAATAAAAGCATATACACAAAAAACACGCTTTGCAGCCAATACAAATAACCTCTTGAGCACTTTAAAGGAATCTCTACAGATGGCTACATTCTGGGTGCAGAACCACCAAAGCTGGCCCTGCTCAGTCAGATCAGGTCTAGGAGCAAACCACCACCACCCGTGCTAAATCACACTAATAAGCCCTGTTTATTATGCTGTTATATGAACATTAAAGTCCCAGACTGGCACTTTGGCACCACTCTGTCCTGTATTTCCTGCTGAAGAACATGCTCATCTCGACACTGATTACCCAACAGTCTGGAGCAGACAATCCCTTGGAGGATACTTTGGTGTCCTTCTGTCCCATATGCTTGCAAATCCTTCAAGTCAGGGTTCAAGAAGAGGTGAAGAGGGCACCGGTCTCATCCGGCCAGACTTTGGATACAGCTAGAGTCAAATGCTGGGATTTGTTCCCGATTTTAAAGTGTGGAGAAAACCTAACTTTGTCCTATGAAAATCAGTACCAGATGGACATCTCTGTCCATCAGATGAGATGAGATTTGGATCCCTAGCTAGAGCAATATCCTGTCATTCACAGAATCACACGGGGTTGGAAGGGACCTCTGGAGATCATCTAGTCCAACCCCCATTTAAAGATAGACCTACTGTGTCTATCCTGTGCACACCAGTCTCTGCCTGCTTTCAGTCGGTCTCCAGTGGTCTTTTTATGATCTACCTTCTGGTACAACCCAAAACTTGACAACGTTGACAGATTAGATTATATCATAGGTCCAGTGGCTGTCCTGAGATCCAAATACACATGAAACCTAGAAAACCCTCCACTTACAGTAAAAAAAAAAAAACCAAAAAAAAAAACTTAAGGAAGTCAAAGAGCTATACAATGCAAATCAACTTGGGGGGAAACAGAAACCTACCCACATCTGAGAGGAAAAAACAGAAGATGTTTCTAGCAACAAAACACTCTTGAACTTGCATGAACTTGAAGTGATCTAAATGAATAATCCTATTAAATACTCCTCGCTTTGGCCAGGATATAGCTGTCAGGATTGGAGTAAACAAGACCAAAACCCAGTGGAGGTCTGTCTGAAAGGCTCAGCTCCATGTGAGGAGGTTTCCCATAGCCCAGGCTACACAGGAGACACAACTACTTTACACAAACACACTTGAGAACCATATGAAATGGCTTTTATATAGGAATGACTAAATAGACCTGACCCGAAACAGGAACTGGGAGTGTAGGGGTGGGGAATCAAATGAAACTGTTAAGTAGTAGGTTCAAAAAAAAGAATTAAAAAAATAAAAGTTCCTTTTTTAAGCATCTGTGAAAGCTGTATTCACAGGCTGCTGCAGACACAAAGTTCACCTAAATTCAAAGAACCCACCACAGGCTCTCAAATACAAAGGTAAACACAAAGGTACCACTTTTTGCTGAGAACGTTGAGAACCAGTGGGTCGGGAGTCAGGAGTGTAATTCGTAAGAATTATCAGTACCTGTTTGACCTATTCTTCTGTTTTTCCCTGGATAAAATGCAGTGGGTCAGACCAAGTCTCTGATCATGCCAAGCCCAGGCACAGGGGGTGGCTACAGGATCTTTGACCCAGGCTACCCTTAGTAGAGCAGCAGAGTACATGGTCATAATTCAAGCAAGCCTCCAAGACACAAGCAGAGGTGTCATTTGAGAAAGAGCAGTGTGAAACCAGTGAAACCAGTTCAGCATCTCCTTTTCCTCTCTTCCATGTCCAAACACTGAGAGTTTCAGGGTGCACTCTCCAAAGCATAAGGCTGTCTTTTCTCCCCTAGCTTGACCCCCCCCAAAAAGCTTATTGTTTTGTATATTCAGCAAAAGTGAGTATTACTCAATTAAAGAAATCCCTGTTATCTTCTTGCATGAATCTTGGTCTCAACAAGTGCAGAAAACATCAGGTGTTTAGGAACACCTACACATTGATTACAATTGCCATCATAAATTCCCACAAGCAGACCAGAACCAGCAAACCACCGGGGGGGAAAAATGGTGATTGTCACCACTGGTGACACCTGCTTCACAAATCAAAACTGTCTGATGTATCAACACATGACAAAATAGGGAATTATTTTATATGTAATACTTATCATTTGAAACCTAAACAATATATTGAGTCACAGTGAGGTCAACATTTCCTTCTCCCTCTGTAATACCCCAAATTTAAATTATTAATGACCACATGGTACTACAACTTAAATACGTGAAATGAACAGAAACAGCAGACGAAAAGGAAATGCATTAAGGGGCACAACACAAAGGCACAGAACATTTTCACGTTTCGGTTTCCCTGCCCTAACACAGACTCGGAAAAATCACTCACTGCCTCCGTGCTTCAAATTCTATACATAAAATGGAGGTGAGGCCACTCCATTACCTCATCGCCATCTCGCAAGGATAAACCAAAGATTGCGAAACGTCCGCAAACTACAGGACTGACAGTGGTACAAAAGCCTTCCATCAGGAAGGGGAAGAAAGGTTTTTAACTGGTCTTAAAGTATTTCATTACTCTTACAGACAGAGCTCTCCCGGAGTCTCAGTCACCGAGGGAGCTCCAGGGGAGGCTGCCAAGGAAAAATTGTGTTTGCCTGTTCACCCTGTGAACCGGGGTGCAATGACAGTAGTGACACTCTCACATTAAAAAAAAGAGGAATGTAATATGCATACTTTTGTACACTGAATGCCTGACACGGTTTGGTTTGTTTTTCTTTTTTGAAATATGAAAGCAAGTTTATGGGCTCTTGTTATTTAATAATGCCACAGAGATTATCAGCGTCCTGTATTATCACAAAATTTGTTCGCAGCGGGTAAAATTCACACCCTGCAGTGAACCAACAAAAGACCACTTAAACCCTAATCTCAGCCTTCACGGTTGAGCCAGTGACAGACTCCTGTTAGTGCTACACGGGGGTACCTTTCCGGACCAGAAAATAAAAAGCACTTTTGTCTTGAGGGCATTTCCTTCAAGGCAATTTTGGTTCCCCACCAAAAAAAAAAAAAAGTCAAGGGAGCCTGTTATAATCTGAAATCCAAAGCAGCCTCTCTGATTTACACTTGTTGATTCAAGTTAAACTAGATGGTGGTACATCCCTGGATTTCTGCGACTTCTGAAATCTCGGAAATGCACAGAATTAGATTGTTTTGCGATAAAATCACATCACATCTTGTGTTAGTACCCAAACAGTTATGAAAACACACCAGATTCAGAGAATGTCCTCTTCTACGACCGAGGAAGAAAACGATGGGACTTGACTATTTCTGAAAGTCAGCCGAGCAATTAATAAACGTGAAAAGGGAGAATAAGATTTAAAAGCGAGATTCCACGAAATAAGCAGCCACGAGACGAGCGGCAAGTACTAATAAGGAAAAAAAAAAACAACTCAGCTTGCTGACAGGGCTATGCCTTCAAAAATTAATTATAGGGAAAAACCGGTTATTTGAAAGAGCTGATATATAAATTTTACGCTGAGGAGTCGGACAAAGGAGGGTAAAAAGCACCTTCTGCTGCCTCCCTCCCTCCCGCACCAGCCGGGGCAGGGTCGGGGGATGCGGGACTCCCTCTGCCCCTCGCTGGGACCCTCCGGATCCCCCCGCGCCCACCCACGGCCGGCGGCGGCGGAAAGTTGGAGCCGGAACAAAGATGGTTTTTCCAGCCGGGGTTTAATTTTAGAAAGGCGCTAACAAAAGGCAACGGCTCCAAACCTTCCCCCCCCCCCTCCGGCTTCCCTTCCCCATCCCTCACAGCCTCCGGGAGACGCCACGCCGCCACACCACCGGGGCTTCCTTCGACCGAATAAACACCTTTTCCTGCCTGGTAAAAATAAAAATACACCCCCCGCCAATCCATACCATAAAAAGGAGAGAAAGAGCCCTCAGGGAGGGAGGGAGGGGAGGGCAGCCGGGCACCAGGTCTACCCAGCATCGGGTGCCAGCCCGCACCGCCCGTCCCGGAGGCTTCCAGCGGGCTCAGCAGCCCAGCCGCTTCCCCCCACCTCGCAGCGGCCGGGCAGGCGAGGGCGTACAACCCAACCCGTCGGGACGGCGGCGTTAACCACCCACCGGCACCCCCTCGCATCCCGCCCGGACCCGCCATGGCCGCCGCGCACAGGCCCCGCGCCTCGCCTCGCCGGGGCTACGGCGCCCGCCGGGGCTGAGGGAGACGCTCACCGCCCGAGGGCGGCCCGGCTGTGAGGGACCGACCGACCGACCGCTCGCCTGCCCGTTCGCCCTCCCGCCCGCCGGCCCGCACCTGTCGGGTGGTGTCGCGGTCCGGGGAGGGGAGGGCAGGCACAGTCAGCGGCGGCGGCGGCGGAGGGAGACAATGGAGGAGTGAAGGACAGAGACATTGACACACGGGCGCCGCTGCGGCCGCCCCCTCCGCCCGGCCGTACCACTCCCGGCACCGCCCCGGGGGGGGGGCGAGAGCTTACCAGGGAAGAGGGACGCGAGGGAAGGCAGAAAGAACGAAGAAAAGAAAAGCAAAACCAGCTCTCCAACTTCACAAAGAGGCAGAGGAGAGGAGAAGTCTCCTTTTCTCCGGCAGCGCCGAGGTGGGAAGTCGGAAGAAGGGGACGGCCTGCACCGAATCCCCCCCACGCCGTGGAGAGAATGGTTTTCCTCGCGGCCGGCCCCTGGCGAGGCGGGGCTGAGGGAGGAAGCGGCCATGAGGCGCGGGGCGGGGGCGGGTGCCGGCGGGCCGGCCGCGGGGAGGGGACGGGCGGGGGGCGCTGCCGGGCCCGGGCTGCCACCGCCGGCGGGCTGAGCTCCCCACGTCCGGCCGCACCGTCCCGAGTCCGCCTTACCGTCTGCGGGAGGCGGCGCGATGGCTCCCCCCAGGAGAGGCGACCTGAGCCCGGAGGAGAAGGACTTGCTGGGAGTGATCGCCACAGGTGAGCCCGGCGCGGCTCTCGCCCCTCACCGCCCGTGGGCAGTAGCGCCGTCCCGGCGGGCCTGGGCCTTCCTCGTCGCGGCCTTGGTGAGCCTGCCGCCGGCGCCTCTCACGGCGGAGGCTCTGCGGCGCCCTGCCCTGCCCTGTGGCAGCTCCGGCGGGCCTGGTAGCGCCCGGGCCGCTTCTCCGCCGCCCCGGGTGTGCCCCTCAAGGGTTTGTTTTCACAGCCGGCGGCGGGAGAAGGGCAGGCCGCGGTCCCCTCGGCGGGGGTGCTGGTGCGGGCCGCGGGCAGGACAAGGCTCCTCAGGGCGCCGTCGGCGGGTTCCGCGCTGCGGCCTGCCTGCCTTCGGGGCCTTGGGCCTCGGGCCTCGTCTCCCTGTTCCCAGGCGGGGCAGGAGGCTGTTCTCCCCCCGGCAGGGAGAGCCCGGCCCGCTCCGCTCCCGCTGCCCGAGGCCTGAGGCCTCCCGGGGGCGCGGAGGGGGGTGCGCGGTGCTGCTCGGGCCGGGGCAGCCCAGCTGTGAGGGCCCGACTCTGCCAAGGAAAACTTCTGCGCCTTCATATTAGTCACGGGCGTTGACATTTATCTACTGACTTGTGTTAATATGCTGGGGGGAAAAAAAAAAAAACAAACCAAAACACCACGTTTTCTTGGGGATAATCCAGTTCTCCAGCGTGTTACAGGTTTTCCCTACGTGTTCTTGCCAGGCCAGGATGTCCTTGCAGACAGCACGTTCTTAAATTAGCAGAACTTGAGCTTGTCCAGGGTATCGTGGGCCTCTTATCTCTGCTACTGTTTTATTTTGCATTTCATGTAAGCATTGCAGTTTCCCCATGTTACGTGGGGCATATGGTTATTGCTGGGGGGCTTTCTGTCATGCTTCTCCTAACAGTTGGATTTCACGGTCCAGCAACGTGGATTGCACAGCCCTGTCTAAATGGTTATAGTCCAAACTGTATTTTGAAAATTGTGAGCGATGTTTATTATTTGGAGGTAAACTGCAAAGATGTGTTCCATGTATTCCTATATGTGGTTTTGAGGCAATTTGAACCTATAAAAATTTATTTATAGTTTTGGGGCATCTCTCTCAATTGTATTAAAATATTTTCTGTGTCAGAGGTACAAGCATGGAATAGTCAACAATTAGTTTATTGTGAATCAGAATCGGTTTGATTGACTCACTTTAATCAAAGCTTCAGGTTTCATCTTGCAGACACTTCTGTCTAACTTACCTGATGCTTATGATTAGGGTCATGGGATAATTCAGGTTGGAAGGGACCTCAAGAGGTCTCTGGGCCAACCTTCTCCTCAAAATAGGTCAGCTGTGAGGTCAAACAAGATTGCTCAGGGTTTTATCCCATCAGGCTTTCAAAACCTTGAAGGATGGAGACTGCAACGTCTCTGGGCAACCTCTTCTGCTGCCTTAATGGGCTCATAGTGAAAATGTTTTTCTTTAAATCCAGTCTGAAGCTTTTTTTTTCCTCTCAACCTCTGCCTGTTGTCTCTTGGCCTCCTACCATGCACCACTATGAAGAGCCTGGCTCCAACCTGGCTCTGGCCAACTCTAGAAGTCTGACTTCTGCCAGTTTAGTGTCTTGTTTGGAAAACCTTCAGTGTTTTGTCATGCAGAACTCTGAACCTGTAAATGCAGCTTTGCTTTGCTTTTCTTTACTTGCATTAAAATTTACTTTGAAGATTAACCCTTGAAGACTTGCTCTTTCTGATGCTTGTTCTTTTCCTGGGATGTTCTTCTGAATTACTCCAGGTCCTAAGAAGCTTCTCACGTGTTTAAGATGTGCATATTTATCTATATATTTGGGACAGTGGGCTGGTTGACAGTGCCCTGACTGTCAGTCAGTGTATTTGATTGGGTCTTTATCAGGTGCGTGAGATGACTCAGATGACTTTTTTCCCTAAAATAATTATTTAAAAAAAAAATGGCTAAAGAAACTTGTTTAGTATAGTTAAACCACACCAAAAGCTGTATGAAAATAAATTAATCCTAGTATTTGTAATGCTCTTTTGAAAGAAAATGAGCAAAAGCTGAAGTTGCAAGAGCTGCTTTGCTGAAAATTTGCTGGAAGAGCACCTCCTTGTGATATAGTGAAGATAAACATGAAACCTATCATTCAAATGAAGGATGTAATGTTTATTTTTATTAAGCACATCAGTGCTGAAAGAGCTTTGCTTATGACTGAATTGGTGATCAGAAGTTTCTGTTAATTTGCAATAAATTCCCCAAAGTTAGACTCTTTGAATGTTCTTTTATTTCTATTTGTTTGAATGCCTGTTGAAGCTGCTACTGAATAATAGTCCTTCAATGGGCTTTAAATCAGGTTCTTAGATTTGTGGCTTAGCTGAAAGGATTCTTACAGCAAATTGAAAGATACGAAGTTATGGTCTATTTCTCCTTGCACAGATTTTTTTTCTTTTCCACACTTCAGCCTGCTTATGCATTTGGCAATTTTTAGAAATGTCAGTGATCAAGCTACCTCTGTCCTTGTCTTTTCCACCTCTATTCTTTCTTACCAAATGCAAATTTTTTACACTTTTGTGCACCTGGGAACTGGAACGGTGCAAATCCCAAATTTGAACAGGAAAGGACATGAGAGTAAATGATAAAGCCTATTTCATTCAGATCAGAAAAATCTTTGAAATGGGACAATTTATTTTTTGTGAGAAATTAAATAGCTCTCTTAGATATAAGATGCTCCAAAAGAGGTGAAAGTACAGAATGTGTTAAAATGCTCAGTATCATATTATTCATTCAGAATTGTTCTGGTGCTGTCTATGAAGAGACATATTAGTGTCCTGTTCTTGTGTGTGTGTGTGTAGATCAGTTTACTTCACAGAAAATGGATGTTTACTTCTAGTGCATGCTCACAGACTACTCTTTGATGTTGTGACTTCTTGGCTTTTAGCTTCTAGAACAGAGCACTGTTCGTTCCTAAGCCTCTCTGCTAAGAGTGATTGATTTATTGATGGTTAATCTACATCCCAAGTGGTTAGTCTACAAAGATTTTGATTCTAATCACAAATGGAACTGATCTTTTTCCTCTTGATTCCTGATATACTCCCTTTCTCACCCCGCTTTTTTCTCTTTGTGTCTTTTTTTTTTTTTTTTTTTTTTTTTTATTTAACGAAACACCGAGGAGGCTGGAAGGCTACTGGGCAGCAAGAACGTCCGTGTCAATTGCTTGGATGAGGTACAGCCAATCTTTTTTCCTTTTTTTTTCCCTTTCTCCCCCCCCTTTTTTTTTTTTTTTTTTTTTTTTTTTTTTTTTTTTTCTCTTTTCAATTCAAGGAAACACCGAGGAGGCTGGAAGGCTACTGGGCAGCAAGAACGTCCGTGTCAATTGCTTGGATGAGGTACAGCCAAAGTGTACAAGTGTTATGCTGGGTTTAGCGAGGAAAAGACTAGGTCTGAAGGCCTTCTTGTTGTTAAATAACGTTGCTATACAGAATCCTGGAAATCACAGTTATTCTGAAGAGATTTCCAGCCTGCAGATAACGAACATTTGAAGAGCTCTTAATTTTTTTTTTTTTTAAGACAGTTTAAAGATTAGTATTACTTAAGGTTCTACACTGTATTTTCTCTCAAGTTCCAGCATGAGCTTTGGTGTCTGTAAGGTAAGATGAACGCTGCAGCGAGACACACAGGGGGGGTGCTCCCTGACTTCTTGTCACCTCCACCAAACTGGAGTCCCTTTGCTTAGAGAGCAGCAGATGATGCAGGTAAAGAATACCTGTCCCCATCTCACGCCTGCATCTCGTCACCCAAAGCTGAACCATAAACATCCTCAGAGAGTGAGCAGCGAGGTGAGAAGCAGAAAACGCACTGTCTTTTCCAGAGGCAGATGTGATAGGTAGAAGATGTAATACTTAAGTGCTACCTGAAGATGGAAGGAACCTCGTGTGATGTTCATACCTGTTTTCTGTTCTTTTTACAATGTTTTTCTAAAACATGCAACATTAATATGAAGTGTAACATATAAGCAAAACTGTAATTGCCCACCATGCATCTTAGATGAATGTCTAATTTATAAATTTACATGTCAATTTGTGGTTTTTTTCCCCAACTTCATAATTTCATAGGATCACTGAGAAATTCAGGCTAGAAGGGACCTCAGAAGGTCTGTAGTTCAGCTTCCCCCTCAAAGCAGCTTCAGCTCTGAACGTAGATGAGGTTGCTCTGTGCTATATCTTGTCCATATTTTTGGGTAACTGGTTCCACTGCCTTACTGTGCTTACAGTGAAAATGTGTTTCCCTTATGTCTGAACCTCTATTTTGACTTAGGCTTGTTGTTTCTTGCCCTGCTGCCACCATAGCTGCAGAGTGTGGCTCTGTCTTCTCAGTGATCTTCCTGTAGGTACTGGTGGCTGTTGGGTCCCACCAAAGTAATCTCTTTTCCAAGCTGAACAAGCCTAGTTCCTGCAGCTTGTCTTCACTGCACGAGTGCTAAAGTTCCTACCATGTTTTGGTGGTACTTGGCTGAACTCATTGCACTTCAGCTGTGTTTTTGTTGTACTGGAAGGCCCCAAATTGGACAGGGTGTTGTAGATGTGGTCTCCTGAACGCTGAGTGGAGGAAAATTATCACTTATTCTACTGGTTATCCTTGTGGAATATTGTTAGGCTTTTTTGTGCTGCCAATGGATTTTCTGACTGTTCTTAAATACAGTTAAATATTTAAACCTTAATTTCTAATGTATGAATTTGAAAAAGCTTCTGACAAAGTAATCAAACTAAGCTTTACAGTAAACTTTAGGAACCTGGGATACCATGTAAGTGCGTTTGCGAGTGTGCTTTATTCTCCAGACTTTAAAAGCTTTTCTTGCAGTGTAATTGCTGAACGACTGCACCCTTGACACAGTATTAGCGCAACGTGCAGGATTACTGTTGAGAGGATAGGGTTTATTAATAGAAACCATAACTGAGTTATGCCTCAGGCTATCGTTAAAGAAGAAATAGTATTAACAACACTTACCTAATGCTCGCATCTGACTAAATACACCCGAGGCACATACGGCTTCAAGTTCATGCAATGCACTTCTTGCAGTGCCCTTTTTATCCCCAGGAGTGGTGTGTAACGATGGACATCGAACAGGAGAGGGTTCAGATGTGTTTAGGATTCTTAATCCATCAGTCATCTCGTATCAACTTATAGAATTTTTCTGTTATAAACTGTTTGCTGTGTCTATACATAAATAGAGTATGTGAAACCCCAGTTAATCATTAGCTTCATCTGTTATTCAACGTTGCCATGACTGGAGACTGCTTTGAATGAATCAGGTCTTATTTTCTTCCTCCTGTGGCCTTAGCTTTTATCCTGAAAGTCACATTATTATTTATATTACTACTGTTACTTACTTTATTAATGTTAAGAAATGAGGGAACAGAGCCCTGAAAATTGAATGCTTAGATATTGAAATAGGAGCACAATTCAGTTGGGAACTAAGAACTCATTTCCTTCCTTAAAGTCCTTTTTTACATGAGAGAATCCGCAGAACGAGCACAGGTTTAATGTGATTCTCTCTTCTGTTTGTGGTACAGCAAAAGTGGAGAATCCACAGGATCCAGTAGCAGGCTGTTACTTATTGCACTTCCTGATTTAAAAAAATAAACACATAAGGTGTCCCTTTTATTTTTGGTTTGACCATATATTCTAACCTCTTAGATCTACTTTCTTCTCGATTAAATCCTGCTGGCAGTCAGCAGTCTTTTCTCTATGTGCCCTTAGACAAGGACCACGTAACATTTTTACATCTTTCAAATGCATTGACTTTTTAAGCATTATGCCTGAAGTTGTGCTTCTTCAGTAACTGAGCTATAACCATGACTCTCTTCTGAGTCCTTGCCAGTTGTTTCAGCTTCTTCCTTCACTAATTTCCTTCACAGTGTTTCAGCATTCTTCTGCCTGTCATTACATGTTATTTAAAAAATAAAATACCACTTCTCTAAATCTATTTGCTTTTCCTGCCCATGTACCAAGACTTAGGCTTCACCTCCTCCTATCTGCGGTGCTATACTTAAAAGCAGAGTAAGACCCCTTTATTGAAAGTAGTTTCACAGATGCCCATCTTCCAGAAGGTTGTAGATATCCAGCAGATATAGGCCTGTTTTTTCCCCCAGTGTCCTTTTTGACCAATTGTTTTGTTGTTTAGGATTTAGGTAGTTGAAGAAAGGAAAGATGTTTAGGCTTAATCACTATCTTTATGAAAACAGAAATACATAGCTCTTCCACAAAACTTGTCTCTAACAGTTTGATTCCAGCAACTTTAAAACTTCAGGGGCATTTAAGCTCAGATGTCCCAAAATATTAGGAGAAATAGATGGGCAATGGAAATGGATGCAAAATAAACACTAATGTATTTCATTTAAATGCACAACACATAGTCATTTTTTGTCCTATTTTAAAGGGGAGTGGTTGCTAATTGGGAAACATGGTATGGAAGAAAGTGTTCTGGAATTTTCTTTCCTCTGGGAGCACAGAGCTTGTAAATAGTGGTGTGACTGCACGTTGGCAGTTTGCTGACTTTAACTCCATCCATTTGCAGGGTGCGGCTGAGATCTGTCAGACTGTTAGGAGAAGGCAGTCTGGAGGAGACACGTGGGGTTTCTAGCTGTGGAAGTTTCCTCCAGTCGTGATGGTAGTTGAGGTTGCAAAGGAGGGCTGAAATGCTACAATCCCATATCTTCTGCAGATAAAGCAGAGAGACTTGACCTGAAAAGACATCACAGTTTTTCTGTATTTAAAATAGCTTTAAGGTCGTTTGTCATCATCTTATATACAGAAGTATCATTTGACCTTAGCAGAGTTACTTTTTTTTCCTGTAGTTTGGTAATTCAGCTGTTCACTTCTGTAATAAAATACATCTTTTAGAAACAGTCCACTTGTGTATGCTAATTGCATCTGGGAATTACAGCAGCAGCCTGTTTATTAGTGTATGAGATACGTGTAGCTTTCCTCATGCTGATTATGTTCAGTGGAGGGTTCTTTGGTTGATCTGGCTTCCTATTCCAGCGAGAACTGCCCGTGCTAGCAGAAAATGCCCAGGTCCTTGGCCTTTATTGAGGAGAGAGAGTTCTGTCTTTTGATGTTTTTTACATACTATTTCAAAAGACACAAACCAAAGAAAATCCAGCAGCTATTAAGAATTATCTGGTTTCAATTCAGGTTGCTGACTGATGCAGACTTTAACTTTTCATCGCTGCAGATGAACAGAAAGATCATCAGAGGAATCTAATGTGTTACATATGTGAAACCAGCAGCTCAGCAGGATGGCTATAAAGGAGGAGAACTATGGCTCTGATCGGCACTCACTGAGCAGTATTTCATACTCTAATTAGTTCATACTTAGCTATAGCTAAAATTATTTGTGCATCTGTTGGCTACCTTCCAAATCCTGCTTGCCGTTAAGTTTAAGGTAGGTAAGGGTGATATTATTCTAAATCTTTATGGGTGAAATTTCTAAAAAGGCCTTCATCCAATGAAAATTCAGGTCTTATTTCTAGACTAGCAGCGTTCAGGACTGTTTCTTTTAAAAATCAGAGATGTTTTTACAATCCAGTTCCAAATACCTCCCTGAACCAGTCTTAAGGAGTTGTTCTAATTTTGGTTAGTTCTCTTCCTTTTTATTTAGGAGAGTTGATTTTTGAATACATCCATTAACTACTGTTCCTGCTCTTTTTGCATCGTTTGTTTCCTTTTTAGTAACTTCCCAAATATTGTCTCAAATAAAAGCCAAACCTTGAACTGATGTCTTTAATTTGTAATTTTCTGAATGAATAGAACTGGTCTAGTTGCTTGAACGTAAAAAATAAGCCAAGGCACTCTTTCCATGTTAATGTGGGGCTGGGTTCCTCATTACAAAATCATAGAATAGTTTGGGTTGAAAAGGAGCTTTAAAGGTCTTCTGGTCCAACCCCTGGCAACGAGCAGGGACATCTTCAACTAGATCAGGTTCCTCACAGCCCTGTCCAACCTGACCTTGAATGTTTCCAGACATGGGACATCTACCACGTCTCTGGGCAACCTGGACCAGGGTTTAAGGATCCTCAGTGTAAAAAATTTCTTCCTTGTATTTAGTCTAGATCTACCCTCTTTTAGTTTAAAGCCATTACCCCTTGTTCTATCACAACAGGCCCGGCTAAAAAGTTTGTCCCTGTCGTTCATGTAGGCCCCCTTTAAGTACTGAAACACCGCAATAAGGTCTTTCTGGAGCCTTCTCTTCTCCAGGGTGACCAACCCTAGCTCTTTTGGCCTGTTGGGGCTGGGAAAAGGAGAGGTGGGTGTTTTAATCCTGCCAGCATGTGAGTGTTTACTGTAGTTTTCAGCTCAGGTTTTGACAGCCTTTTGCCACGCTATCGAGGTAGCTGGTATTCACATGTGACCCAGCCAGTGTGTGCCACATCTTGGCCAAGTTTCCATGGTTGAGGAAAGGGGTGAAGTGAGCAGGACAAGTGTAAAACACTGGAAATGTTGGGACTGCTTGGAGTCCTCATTTCTCTTGAGTAGCACAGGTCTATGTGGCTACTTCATCAGTGTGTTATCCACAAAACAATGGCTTTTAAAAATGTGCAAGATGGTCTGGGTATTTTTTTTTGTTTGTCCCAACTCTTGTTGTCCAGGAACCCCACACTCCCCAATTCCTCTGGTTGATGAGAAATAGTGTTGTTGAAAACTTCCTCCATAGTTCATAGAAGGCAGAAAGATACTTTCCTAGTTATGACCCTTATAAATTTGGGTTTTGTGCATCCTCCACCTCTCCCAGGTGCTGAAGATGGACAGACTGACCTGCTTTTTTCTTGCCCTGATTGAGGGGCAAGAGAATGAGGTTAAAAGACTGGATTTTTGGTCAGAAGAATGTTACATAGTAGCTGCTAGAAAATGAATGCTTCATCCTATGTTTCATGCTGGAAAAAGAAATAATCTTTCCTGTGGGTGCTTAATAAACTGTCTGCTAGTTTAGTCTTTTAAGCATGTTGTATTGACAATTCAAATGGCATCTGCCAGAAAACAGACTGTTGCTGGACCTGTCTTTGCTGTTCAGCCTGAGAAGAGCATTTTCAGTCATCTCAGTTCCTGTATAGGGACAGGAAACCAGGCTTTTTCAGCTTTTCTGACAACTGTCCACCTTTTCTGCTTCATGTTTTTTTGATCCACATCCTGGCACTTTCAAAAGTTAGTCAAAGACTTTTTTAAAAAGTTTCCCAGGAGGAGGGATGACCAAAAAAAAACCCAACCCCAACTTTTTCCTTTGTGCTGTAATCTTCAGACAGATTGTTTAATTGAAACAACTGCCATTCAAGATAGAACCAAACTTAAAATCGTTGTTTTCTTAAACAGTTTCTTCAGTCAGAAACCTCACTGTGTTCATATCCCCTTTTCTGTGCTACTAAAGGAGACAAATCTGTAGCATGACTCCAGACTGGGATTGGCCCATAAAAATGGGTCCAAATTGACATACATATTTTATATGTAAGGATAGAAAGCCTTTACTTACCTTTACAAATGAAACCTAGCAAAACCAATGGCAAATCTGTTTCATGCTGTGAAGTGATCTCTTTGGGTCTTTTGTTTCCTTTATGGCAGTTGATACTGCAGTTTACAAAAATATTTCAGGTTACTAAAATATAATGCATCAAGTAATAATTTTTTTATTGTTTTCAGTTAGGATAGGGAAAAAAGAAAGTATAACACATGAAAATTTTTATTTTAACTTTTCCAATTGCCCTTACCTTTAGGAATTTTTTGGAAATTATACTGACAAATTTAACTCCATTGGGTTTTATTCTAGCATAAATTGAAGCAAGAAATACCTTAAGGCTGATGCTGACAATTCCATTATTTAGGGTATGCCATTACCATGTGCTTACAGAGCTGCAGTGACGGTGTGTGTGAGCAGATTCATACACGCAGCCATAACCTGCAAAAAAAGGAAGAAAATGCCATTTTGATTTCCTTCGGGGACAGACTAAAGCACAAGCCCTTGTATTCAGCGTTAGAGAATGTTCTTGGGCAATTACCACGTCTTGGCTGATAACAGGAATCCTGCCTGGATGTTCAGTGAAAATAAACAGCATATTGGAAAAAGCGCATCAAATTCTCTGAGCGGAATGCCGTGCAATTTTCTCAAACAGGGTTGTGCTTCTCCCTGCCCTGTCAGAGGGACAGACCCTGCACCAGCAACTCCCCCCAAGTCCTGAAAATTTCCCTGTGGCTTTGCTCGGGTTTGAATTTATAAGTTTGAATTTATAATTACACCAGTGGGACTGATAAAAACTCAGTGCCTCCCTTGCTGGAGCCAAACCCATTTTGTACTGGTGCCGTTTATCAAAAGGCAAGGTTTGAGACTGTGGGGCTGTTTGGGTCTAGTTAGAGCTGTGCATCTTCACAGGGGCTGTTGGAGCTCTGCCTGATACCACGTCACAGACACGACACCAAAAGGGTGGATAAATGGGAGAGAGAACAGCACAATTACCAATAATCATGACTAAAAATGAGTTTCACAAATTGCAAATCTTTGCAATGGCAAAACCAAGAACCTATTCCTAATTTTCTTGTCGTTTATCATATAATGCAGGTTGAGAAAAGAAATAATTTAGGAACCTAACGTATTTTCTAAAATAAGCTTTTCCAGCTAGTAGAAGCATTAGCTGTCTTTAATGGCTTATACAAAAGGCCAGTGACAAACGGGCAGTAAGTGGTTTTCATCTGTTCAGCACTGGTCTGTTTTCAAGTATATAGCACAGCATAATCAGAAGTGACAGGGGGATGGAAAATCTACTGCATTTTGGTAACCACATATTTATTTTCATGGAGATTCTGTGAGCTTTTTTATCGTTGCTAACTTAAATATTATGTGAGGCTTTGGTAGTTACACTGAATATGTATGTCCAAGTGGAAGTTATCAGTGGTATGAAGATGAGGAGAGATAACTAATCCTTAACTGTATGCTGTTTTCCTTCCTCTGTCTTCCCCTAGCATGGGATGACCCCCCTGATGCACGCAGCCTACAAGGGGAAGGTGGAGATGTGCAGGCTGCTCCTGCGGCACGGGGCTGACGTCAACTGCAACGAACACGAGCACGGATACACCGCCTTGATGTTCGCCGGGCTCTCAGGTAACCACCAAACTGAGTTCACTCATTTTTGTGGCATTGATGATGGGTACAACCTGCCAGGAATTACACTTTTTAAAGGAAAACGTCAACACCTTTTTATTTATTCAGGTTTACTCTTATTTATGCGAACCGTGTGGATGTGTCAAGAGCAGTAGAATCATCGGGGCAGTGGAATAGGAGTGCTACAGTTCAGGCTTTGGATCTTTTTCCATACAAAAATTGATTTTGTTCAGCATTTTGAGGCATATAGTCCTGTACTTTGTCCTGTTTGTTACACATCTCAAAATTCAGTCTCCTGTGACAGTTTTCCTGGGCAGTGGGATACGTTCTGTTTAATTATAGTGTGTTACACTGAAAAAGATGCTGCACCAAACTTCCCCTTTTAGGACTACAAATCGGTAGATTTAGTAATATTTGAGGCTTGTAAAATTAATTCAGTATTTTTTCAAATTTTGCCTTTCTCCGACATTATTTTTGCAATTATCTTGTGGGCATTTAAAAATGTATTTAGGAAGTTTTAAAAACGTTTTTTTCTCACATTTATTTTCCTTCTCTTGGTAGATTTTTTTTTTTCATGAGAGTGCTTATAGCTGCATGTGTCTTCTCCTCTCTCAAGTGGTGGTTTGCAGCTTTCCTCTTGCCGTTCTTTTTTCCTGATGAAGCAAACAATTATTTCCTTGAGTGAGAAAAAGATGCTACGTAAAAAACATTGTTTCTTTTGGGGAAAATATTAGATTTGGGAATATTAGGTTATTTTAACATCCTGTATTTTAATACTGGGTTATTTTAATATATTTAATATATAAATATTTATATCTTCTTTACTGGACCACTTACATCTTCCCAAAAAGGAGATTCTAGGGAAGTAAGATTTTGTAGTATGTAGAGTTTAAACTCTGCCTTCTTTCATCATAAGTATAAAAAAGAAAGGCATATGTGTGTCCATGAATCTGAACTGGAGCATCAGGTTGCTTTTCTGCTAAAACTTTGGTAAAAAGATTAGGGAAATTTCAACTTTGTGTGTCATTGAGCAATGTCGGAGCTGCAGCACACAGATGGGAACAGACCCTTAGAGGCTGTTAAATGACTGCAGCTTTATGGAAAATGCTGGAATTTTTACCATTTTCTCACAGCTGAGCTTTTAACCCGTTGTCCTGGATTCAAACACTTCTGAATGTTGATTTAGGGTCTGTGATCTGTGAGTGCAAAAGGGACACGAGCACTACTGACACAACGCCTTCATTGCTGAATCAGAAACATTCCTTTCCAGCCACCAACCCCTTCTCTTTTATTATAGTCACTTTTCTGTACTCAGCATATGCACAAAAACTGTTAATGTAAGAATAGCTTTGAAAGCAGAACCAGCACGAGTGGTGACAAGTGTCCTTATTAGTCTCTGAAGGGCACCAATTAAGTCATCTAATCTTCCCATCAAATTTTAGCTTCATTTTACTTGGTATTTAGCCCAGTCTGAACACCCAGTTCCCGCTGTGGAGCAAGGAACAATCTGTTCCCTTCTCTTGTGCTCCTGCTACATAATAGCACTGGATTTGTTTTTCTTCTTAGAATAGCAAATGTTGTAGTTGAACTGTCAAACTAGATTAGTAGAATTTGCTTCTATATTGCTGTCCAGAGGGACCAAGCTCTAGTTATATGTATTTGACTCTCATAAGCTCCACAGGGAGCTTAATGTACATTACAGAGAGCAGGGTTATACCCTGCCTGGGTTTAGTTTTTATTTGATTTGATCCTCTGGAACCATAAATAAGGAGGCAGCACTGTGCCTTTCTCTCAATCCATTCTTAAAATAATAACATGAAGAACATTCATTTCCCTCAGTGTTCTTCCTGGGCTTTAAGAAATTTGCTCCTATAAAGAATTACAAGTTATGGTTTGTTCTCTCTCGTTCCCTGTATCTTCCCCCCGAATTCAGGAAACAAAGAAATCACCTGGATGATGTTGGAGGCTGGAGCAGAGACTGATGTTGTCAACTCTGTGGGAAGGACAGCAGCTCAGATGGCTGCTTTCGTGGGTAAGGTGGAAGTCTATTACCATTTACTAAATTCCTAAAGAAATAAAACATTCGTTTCTGATGCTTTTTATTGGAGAAACATTATTTAATGACCTGTTCTGAACTGACATAGTTCAGCTTTTTTTTTTTCCTGCTACTGACTGACCTGAACCTGACTAGAACAAGAGAAAAGATTTGTCATTCCAGTATGTTTGATCCTGAGAAAAAGAGAAAAAAAGGGCATTTTTCTGCTGTTACGTTTCTTTTTGTTGTCTTTTTTTTTTCTAAACCCTTTTTCATCCCTAACCCATCTTGAAAGTGCTGGGAGATTCCTGGATTAATGTTCCCAAATATACCATTTTTTTCTCTACTTCTAGCAAGGATGTGTGATAAACTATTGCCAGAAAAGGGGGGGTCATTTGAATGACTCGGCTGTTGCTGTCCATGTGACCTTCCCACCAGCCAGAAATGAAGACCTGTATTTTTGCTTCAGCACGACCTTGTTGTGTTGTTTAAGTGTCTGAGAAGTCTCTCACCAGTCCATCAGGTGTTCTGGATTCTAGGGCCTACCTGGGCATTTAGATTTACTTCCTTGAATAGTGAGTTGGTGCAGTTTCAATTTCAATCATATCTCACTCTGGTCTTTTAAAGAGGAAAAAATGGACATTACTCACTTGAGGTTTCAGTAGCAAAACCCCACTCAGTATGTCAGAGAAGTCCACTCCCATTAATTATACTTCGGATTTGGAGAGTCTTTTCCAGTGTGGTGCTGAATTCAGTTAATAGAGAATGGGGAACATTATCTCCAACATAATTTTGGAGAATTCTTGTTTAAAATCTCATCGCATCACCAAGAAGGAATAAATGTTTTCAGGCACACTAAGAGATGCTGCTCTGTAAAAGTCTGAGCGTTGGAATCCGTTCCTGCTCTTTTTTCTTCTCTGTCCAATCAACACTAATTCATCTGTCTGTGTGGGAAGTGAGGATCCTTCTTCCCCTGTCATTTGTCTTAGGCTGGGCTCCATTAGCTCAGAACAGTCTCTTCTGAAACACTGGAGGGTTTTAAATGCTGGAATTTGGTTGGCTCTGTCGCCTTCTGCCGATGCACAGGATCAGTGCCAAGAGAAATCAATCAATTTAAAGAATGTGGTCTTTAACTAGAGAAGCTAAATTTTACTTTCCCTTCAGCCAAGTAATCCATCATTTTGTCAGATACAGCAAACAAGAAGAGGGTATAACTTCTCTCATCTTTTTACTTTCATCACAGTCCTTTTTTTTTTTTTTTTGGTGAATTTTAAGCACGTTCTGTTCTTGTCATTTCTCCTGCATTGGGTTAATGAAGTAGGACGTGTTTCAGGTTTGAAAACTAACAAGTCCCAATGCAAATGTTGTTAAGTTTTGAAAGTACAATGCGGAGAGAACTTTTCCTGAGAAATTTTAACCCCAGTGTGACACTACTGGTGTAATGTAAATTTGGGGAGAAATACCCGTTCTCTTAGTTTTGGCTTAGCAGGGAAGGAGGACAGGGGAAGGGCATAGAGTTCCCAAAATGGAATTTCAGGAAGTCATTCCCTGCTGGGAGTCAATAAGTTACAGCTACTGAACATAAAAGGATGGCAAAGCATATGGTGCTCAGCTTCTGCCTGGGTAATTCTCACCTGTAATGCTTGTATTTGATTTGGCTTTAGGTTTTTGTTTTGTTGTTGTTTTGTCACTATTTCATTTCATGTTACTATTCATTTCATGTGATTTTTAATTTTTTTTTTTTCTTGTGTGCCTGTAGGTCAACACGACTGTGTGACTGTCATCAACAACTTCTTCCCACGTGAGAGGCTGGACTACTACACCAAACCCCAAGGCTTAGACAAAGAACCAAAACTGCCAGTGAAATTAGCTGGGCCTCTACATAAAATTATTACTACAACTAACATGCATCCTGTTAAGGTGGAGTAATATGTAAATTGTGTATGTTGGCATGGGAACTGCTTCTTTATGTCACAAAGTGTTCAACCCTTCAGAGTCCAACAGATCCAAAGCGTTATCCATCCATTCATTGCTTCTGAAAATGAGAAGGAATTGGGCTCAGTGTTTAGACACGACTCAAAAATGAAGCTATTTCAGCATTTATAGACACAGCACATCCTTGAACTAACACCTCCAAGTGGAGAGGTTCTTATTTTTCGCATCAGTAGCCATAAATAGATTTTGGTTTTGGCTTTTTTTTCCCCCTTGAAGTGAAAACATGAAACAATTTCCCATCTTTACAAAATCTCGTTGCTCCCTCACTGCGTGTCTCAGCACGGAGCTTCCTGCCTCCATCCCTGGTTCCCCACAGTAACACCTACTGCTGCTGGTTCTTAAAGTATGGAAAAAAGATGTTTATTTTTACTTCCCACTCTTATTTGCTGAAAACAATGTGTTCTGTGGTTTGCTCTCCCAGGGTAGTTCAGTGAAATTAATAACACCTAAATTCAGAGACGGGTTCCTCGGGTTTGCCATTCAAAGTCAGGAGTTTGTCAGCAGCTGGCAGGCAGGTGTCTGCAGCACATACACACGGTAACGCGCTGCTGGCAGATCAGTTAATGAGCAGAATATACAGTTTCCTCTTCAAGTGGTTAATTTGGTGCTTTATTGGTCTCCCCGAAGTGCTTCAAGAGCACGTGAGGTCAATGCGTTCTGTGAAATGGCTTAAATCGTGCAAGTCCTGTTTGTTTTAGGTGTTCAAAAGGAAAGGGATTTTAGGACAGCCTGTGGTCATTTCTGTAACTGTTTCGTCAGGTTCTTATTCTGGAAAAATCCATAATATTTTCAATACTGGTCTTAATTTGGAATGTTTCTTTTATGGGCACTGTGAATGACAGTCTACTAAATAGTGACTGAAAAAAGAAGGGGAAGGCTGCGCAAGGTGGAAGTAGAAGCATATTAGAAACTCCACTGAGATTTGGCTACAATGAGCTATGCAACCTTTAATGCTAATGCACAAGTTGAAAAAATATAGTTCTTAATTGGATTATGTTTTCTTCACTCTTTGCCATAGATTGTGTTGCTGGTAAAAGAGAACCCTCTGTTGGCCGATGTGGAAGCGCTGCAGAAATGTTACAGGGTCCTGGATCTGATTTGTGAGAAATGCATGAAGCAGAAAGATATGAATGAAGTACTTGCCATGAAAATGCACTACATCAGTTGCATCTTCCAGAAATGTATTACCTTCTTAAAGGAGCGAGAGGATAAACTGGATGGATTTATCAAAAGGTACGTGTTTCTACCGGGAGGCCTGAAGCAGCTTTAGAGGTACCAGAGAAAGACAAATATGTCCAACATGGATCATCTGGGAATAGTTCTCTCTATTTTACTCCTCAGCAGTCAGACGGGAGAGTTTTTTTTTTCCAAAACACTTAAAGCAACCAAGAGCTGCAAATCCCCCCTGGCTCTGGAGGAGACTTGGACTCTTAAATCACTTAGATCTTCAGAACCTCCTCAGAGTTACCAAACCAGCTGCCTGATCTTAGGTATCAGTTAATGGCCTGGCTCTGAGAAGGATCACATTCCCCAGAGACCTCAGCAGATTTCTGTGTGGTGCTGAAAATAAATGCCCAAGTCAGCTTTCACATACTGAGATCAAATAGTTCATCAGCCAGCCATATAAAATAGTAGGAACCAATATAGATAAATACAGAAGCATCAGGGCTAGAACATGTTATTAAACAGAAGTAAAGCAGAATTTTTATTTTACAGTAATGGGTATTCTTCAGTGTTTATTTTTACAATGTTCATTTTAAAACAAAACAAAGCATTTTGCTACTTCGGTGTGATCAGATAGTGGTCTACCTGTAGGTGATAATTTGTCTCAGTGTGGCTGAATTAGCAAGTAGTGGTTTCAGAGCATACATTTAGTTATTTTATATTTCATAATGACCGCGCATTAGAACAAAAATAATTTCGTTTGCATTTTAAACAGTTACATTTGAAGTTGTGGAATAATTTTGAATTCTTCTCTATAATTTGCAAGAGGACAGGGTCAGGAGGAGAGTTACATTGTGCTGGGTGTTTGTTCTTGACCGTTTACTCTGTGATTTCTTATTTGACTTCGATTTTAAAAAATCTAGTCTCTTGAAAGGGAGAGATAAGGATGGTTTCCCTGTGTATCAAGAGAAGCTCATTCGAGAAAGCATCCGGAAGTTCCCGTACTGTGAAGCTACGTTGCTCCAGCAGCTGGTGAGAAGCATCGCTCCTGTTGAAATAGTAAGTTTTTCCTATCAAGAAATACTTTCTAAGCAGCTGCCGTAGTAAATGCAGTTTAAACTAAGCCATCCTCCTGTTTCTCAGCTTCTGCAATGTATTACGTTAAGTGAAGGTTTTTGAATGTCCCTGAACTCTGGCAAACTGGAATTTTATTTTACATTCTGCAGAGAAATGCTCTAAACTACTTCAACTAGCAGTTTTTTCCTATGCCAATGATGAATGCTTAAATACCTCTGCTTTTAAAGACAATTGGAACAGTTTGTTTCTCTATCGGAGCTTTCTTCTCCTACTCTATGATGTCTATTTAATTTTTCTCTGCCAATTTGCTTTCACAAATTGTACATTCAGACACAGCTGAAACCCATTTTGCGCTCTTTTTTCACAATGTCTAAATTCAATTTAGCATCAAATCATTTCCTAGATTTAATGCATTTCTGGTGCACGCAAAAAGCTGGTGATATGTGAGGGTAGAAAAGGGAAAACATTCTGTGAAGCTCCTTTTATCACAGAGAGGCACGATGATGCAATATAGGGTAAAATGTGTATCTAAATTAGGAAATGAACATTACAAGCCAAAAAATCTAACTTTGGTTTTGCTCATACATCTTTGCCAACACACTCCTCGTTACAGTGCTATTAATTAGTTGGTAATAAATCTGACACGAGAGTTGTTGCTCATTACTGAGAGCGCTCTCTCTGGTCTGGGGGAGCTAGATGTGACATGCACTAGCACTGGGGAAGTGGAACAATTCAGTGACGTGTTTGGATTACGCCGAGTGAATTAAAAATAGTCTCCATCTTAAGTGGCTCCAGTCTCCTAAAGTGTCCCGAGGCTTAATGCCATTCCTGCTGCTTCCCTGAGCCAGAAAAACAAACACAAGCCGTGGTGATGTGCTGAGACTTGCTTTAGAGTAAACATTGTCCTTCCCGTCCCTTGCAGCCTTTTCTGCCCTCTCCTTTCAGAGCAGTGCAGTTGGTTGCACTGGATTTCTCTCCGTTATGCTGAATAAGGAAGGAGGAGACACTAGACATTTTTAATTATCTGGAAGGCAACTGTTACTTGCAATCCCATCTCACGCTGTCCTGGGTTGTGGTCACACCTATTCCATGGCACTGCAGCAGTTTGAGGGTTTACTTAGCAATGGAGCAACCTGGGCTTTTTTTCCTCTGATGTTAACATCATTGTCCAAAAGAATAGTTGTAACTTCTGGTTACCAGTAAAATACACTACATCTTCCTGCTTGTACTGCATGGGGAAGATGCTGCAAATAATATGTAAATGATAACATGCAAAGAATTGTTTTGACAATTGTGAGTTGTGACCGTTTGTCCTGTGGTATCTGAGTGCACTGAGCACAGAGTATTTCAGTGACAGGCACAGTATGGGTCTGTGGGCCAGCAGAGACCCGTCTGCACAGACCTGCTGCATGGCATCTGCAAGAGGGTGACAGTGTGTAAAGAACACCGAGTTCATTAACAGTATTATTAGTAATTTACAGAGTAAAAAATCACAGAATGGTTTGGGTTGGAAGGGACCTTCAAGATCACCCAGTTCCAATCCCCTGCCCTGGGCAGGGACACCTCCCACCAGACCAGGTTGCTCCAAGCCCCCTCCAACCTGGCCTTGAACCCCTCCAGGGATGGGGCAGCCACAGCTTCTCTGGGCAACCTGTTCCAGTGTCTCACCACCCTCACAGCAAAGAATTTCTTCCTAATCTCTAATCTAAATCTCCCCTCTGTCAGTTTAAAACCGTTACCCCTCGTCCTACGGCTCCACTCCCTTCTGCAGAAGCGAAGGACTAAGTTAACTTTATACACAAGAATTTACCTCACTGTGTAAATGTGAGGTTCTGGATGTTAATTGATGTTTTATGTTCTTGCTGCTACGGCATCTTCAGTGAGGCTGCAGCTGGCAGCTGGCAGTGCTTGTTTGGTTTGGTTTTCTCTTAGGTGTCCCTTTTCATGAGTGTTGTCTTTTAATCTCCCCCCACCTCTTCTCTTGCCTTCCAGGGTTCTGATCCTACAGCTTTCTCCGTCCTTACCCAAGCCATTACTGGCCAGGTGGGGTTTGTGGATGCTGAATTCTGTACAACTTGTGGGGGAAAGGGAGCAGACAAAAGATGTTCTGTATGTAAAATGGTAAGAATCCATTAATAGTTATAATCAATCACAAAATGTGGTGCTGAGGCTTTTGAATGCTTGATTGTTTGCTGGGCAGGGGTGTGAGGAGTGGCCTGTGTTCCTGCACTGACAACGTGTGAGCACAGGGACTTCTGGGAGAGATGCCTGAAATTCCCAAGGAGGAGTATTTGGGAGTTCCAAGTGTGTATGTTTAACAGTTAAGAGTAAAATTTCTGCATCTCCAGAGTTAACAAAATAAACTATTCTTTATAGAGTTTTATATAGGTTAGAATCACTCCATATGACCTTGCACATTGCTTAAAAATACCACTAAGTAATATACACAGAGAGATGTAACTTGGTACACGGTAAAATGCAAGAATATTGTTTATTTTTTAGTACATGAAGATGAATTTTTAGCTCTGGTACCTTTCAGGTGATGTACTGCGACCAGAACTGCCAGAAAATACACTGGTTCACCCACAAAAAAGTCTGCAAGACTCTGAAGGAAATTCATGAGAAACAAGAACTAGAAGCTGCCAAAGAAAAAAGGAAACAAGAAAAAAAACAAAAGAAAGGTTAGGATCTCTGGTTCCCTTGCTGACACCAACGCTGCATTAACTGCACCACGAGGAACACCAGGAACAGGTTTAAAATCTGTAACAAACAGCCGAGCTCGAAAGAAAGATCTTTGTTGTAACTTAAAGGCACGGTTGCAGCATTTGTTGGAATTCTGGTCTTTCCATCTACAAATGCTATAAACTTTCTAAAATGTGGGCTTTGATGCTGGAGTTCCGAGTGCTCCTCTACATATTAACAAGAAGTATGGCAAAATTAAAGATAAATCACTGCCAGCTTTGTGCAGGGTTAGTTTCAGAGTAATCTTACACCAGCTTAAGCAGAACTGTAGTGTCTTGAAGGCTTTTTTTGATGAAGCTTGGTGAAATGAATCACTTTTGTAACTGATGCAGTTCCCTAGTGTTTATTGCCCATCACCAATACAATTGTTTGCCTGCAGATGGGTTCAGGGTTCACTGAGGGTGCGATTTCTCTTTTGTCCAGATGAAGTGCAACCCCTGGAGGGCAGTTCCCCAAGTGAAGAACAGCCCGATCCTGGGCCAGATGCTGCCAAAGAAGCGGATCCAAATCACGCTCCTGAGCGAGGGGAAGAACCTGAAGTGACCAAAGAGAGGGAGGCCCCAGCCCTGCACCCTGAGAGCCCGGCGGAGAGCGAGGCTGCCTTAGCTGATGTCACCCTGCAGAAAATTCAACATTCTGAGGAGTAAGAAAAAAGGGCAGGAAGGGACTGAGTGTTCTGGCCGCGTCTCTGTAGCTCAAGGGTCCTAAAGATTCTTTGATGCTGACCATGCCTGAGTCCTTACAGCATGGCCATTGCAGGACAGCATGTCTCTCTCCATCACGAGATGAAATACTGGCTAATTCACCCATAAATACTTCAGGTTCTGTTGTAGATTGTCAAAATGTGTATTTATTATCTGATAAAAAACTAGAGTGGCATAGATCCATCTGTACCTGCACCAACAGTAAGCAAAGACCTATGCGTTCTGTGGTTAATCTGCCACTTTGTGGAAAAAAAAAAAAAAAACACAACAAAAATCTATGAGTTCTGTGGTTAATCTGCCACTTTGTGAAAAAAAAAAACCCACACCAAAAAGCATTTGATTTGCATTATTCATGTTTTCAGAACCTAAAATCTATTTTAATTCTAATTGAAATATTTTTTTCTGCAAGTGCACAGAACTGTAGTTAAAGGCATTGGGAAGCCAACTGGTAAATTGCTTTTTTACACCATTTTATGCACCTTTATCTGAAGGAATTCAGTAGCAGATAAGTTTCTGAAGGTACTTACCTGAATTCTCAACTTTTCATGACATTTCTGTACATATTTCTGACTAGTGAGTGCACAACAATAGTATCTATTTTGTGGCAATTTTATTAAATGATACTGCTGTTTTAGATGTCTCAAGCCGACTGTGAAATGTGTGTTTCAACAGAATTATTTCCCTATTGCTTTGGTCAAAAAATATTCCAAGTTTTGTCAAAGTCTAATGAAGGGAAGACCAGAAGGATGTAAAAAATATTTGGACTGACAAGAGTAACGGCTTCTAAAGCTCAGCTTTCAGGTAAAGATGCCTTAGAGCACGGTGGAATGGTGCTTATGAATTATTTCATAAACAAAAATGATGCTTAATATTGCTCACCCTGAATCTGGTTGCAGTGAATTAAGTGGGAAAATTCCTGTATACATTGATACAAGTGGGATTTCAACTAAATACCATATTTAGGAAATAGCTTCCCTTAACTGTGCTGTTTTCACCTGGATTTACTGCTGCGTCTCAGGAAATCCACAGGAATGACACAACCAGTAACATCTCTTGCTGCAAAACAAAGTTTGAGATTCTCTAATTGTTGGATGAGTAACTGGTGTTTTGAACATGGCAATATCCTTCCACTTAGAGGAATAAGGACCATCCTCAAAGCAGAGGAAAAACACTATTAATTTTTTATTATTTAATATATTGAAGGTTTTTGTTTAATATTCTGCAAACTGTAAGAGCGAGGATCCGTAAATGCACCTGTGCAGGGAATGTACCTGTCTCTTCAGTTCAAGGATGAGAGGGATAAATTGTGAAGAATAAAGGGAAGTTTTTTAAAAGAACCGAGCTGAGTGCCAATCCTTGTTCACTGCATCTTTGAATGTTACTTAGAAGGAACTTAAAGCAGAAGGAAAACTCACGTGCAGCTGAGTGATTCCTTGGCAAGGCTTCAGGTGACCAGCCCAGCTGTGGGGGGCAAAGCCAACAGACACACTTTTGCACCTTCAAGGGTGTGTGGTTTTCTCCTCCACTGGGGAAAAGGGAGTTCTCACTTCTTCAGCTGTTTGCAGGGTGTAAGAAGGTGGCAGCTGTGACTCTGCCCAGGCTGCTCCCTCACCCCTCCTGCTCCCTACTTCACTTTTGGGCTAAGTGTTGTTTCAGATCTACGCTCTCCTCCACTCTGTTCTTCACCTTGGGAAATCTGACTGAATTAAGAACATCTCAAAGCTTCTCAAACTATCTGGGCAGATCTTCTAGCGAGCTAAATGTTGCATGTTCAAATCACTTCAGATTCTTGATGCAGGTATATTCTGAAGGTTTTTCTTCATCTAACTGAAGGGAAGTGTCGGCAAAAGTTGAAATTCCCTTTGTAATTGGAGTATTACTTTTCATATAAATGGCTAACGTTACTCCTTTTTGCACTAATGGCTCTAAAACAGACTCAAACCTTTTGACAGGTTGAGTGCATGGAAAGCACCTCCTTTGAAGTGAAGTGCACGGGGCGGTGGTTCTCCTTGTCTCGTGGCTGGTTGGACAACATCCAACATCTACACTACACTGGGAACCAACAGCAAGCACTACCGTGGGGAGTGTGGAGCACACAAATTAGCAAATGGGAACTTTAATCCCTCTCAGAAATGAAAAAAGCTTAATGGTTGCTTTCTCCTATCTCTGTTTTGAGGGAGGAAGACCAATTACTGCTAGTAAACACAATAAGTCTAATTCTCCAGTAGAAACTCAAAGGAACGAAATTATTTATATTTAGTTTCTTAAAAATTACCCTGCTGTTTAGCCTTAATAATTTCTGATATCAAAAGTACAGTAGGAATTGCATCCCAAGCAATGTCTATTGTAACACTGCCACTATTTATCACCTGCTGTCTTAATGTCTTCACTCTCCATGTTATATATCTGATGATAAAAGGGAAGTTACACTGATATTTTTTTTGCTGGAAGTTTATTTAATTAGATGCATGTTTTAGCGTGCTTGTTTTATAGAGGTATTAACTTACATAAGAGGCTTATCTTCACAGTAGAGAGAGGAATCATTTTGTCTTCTTAAAGAAGAAACCTCTCATCTGAATTGGATTGTCAGCTTCTCCTGGGGCTCTTCTGCTCCGTTCTCAAGCCGTCGTTCTCGGCAGGTGGGGACTTTGTTCCACTCAACAGAGGAAAATGCCATCAGAGACCGGGCCATTGCCCGCAGTAAAACGGCATCGTCGGGGTTCTCAAAGGGCACCCTGCAGAGAGAACAGCCCATGTGTGTTATCTGAGTGTTGCCAAACTGCTTTGGAGCTAATTTACTGGACCCACTCTGTGTAGGAAGTGAAGTTAGGAGTCATAGTGACACTGACAGCAAGGACTTTGAAATATTGGGAAGGCCTCCTTCTGTTAACAAATTCAAGAAAGCAAAACAAAATGAGAAAAGGTCAGAATCACAGGATCCTAATGAAAAAAATTCATGCCATAAGTTATTTAAAATACATTTATAGCAGACTTTAGAATGGTTTTTTGTTCTCACTGCTTTTTTTCCCCAAAAAATATTATTGTTATATACTTTTAATGCTCTAATTCAATGGAAACAATAAAACTGATTTTATGATTTCATAGTGATACGATACCCACTAATGCAAATGCCCATTTATTTCAACACGGATCCTTTAACCACGGCAACATCCCTCCTCTGAGCTCTGATCCCAAACACTGGGAGCTCGTGTTGGTCATGAATCCTGCAGTCTGGGAGACAGGGGGAAATGGGAGCGGGGAGAAAGTGGGAGTCACAACGTGGATACAGAATTGAGGACTTTTGTGTTAGACCAAACCTTTTAACTCCGATACAATATTAAAATCTGGTCTTGTAGGAACTTATTTCATAAAGATGTACTTGTAGGAACACAGCCCTAATATAAACCAGGGGACTATTTTCCATTTCACCAGCATGAGATGGAGAGGACGCTGCACATCCATTCTCTCAGTTCTCTCAGCCAATTCCACCCAAAGCAGGTAAGAATTCCTTTTAAACCAAAACTAGCTGTATTGCAAAGAGCTGTACTCAAGTGAGTACCTACATAAAATCACATTGTTAAAGGATATCATCCTATGTTGGCTTTTATTATTTTCTTTAATAAAAATTTCAAATATATTCCCATGTAAAGCCACAAAGTAAAAACAAGCCTGATATCTGAAGTTTGTAAACTTACTCATAGAGATAGCATCTAAAAATGTCATCACGTTAAAACACAACCTTTATGCTGCCTCAATCCAGACACAGAGATAACGGAGATAAGTTTTTCATTTATTTCTATGATTTTGAAACTAAACAGAATAAAAGTAACATCGAGTACAGACTAAAAAAGTTTCATTCTACAAGTCGTAATATTTTTCAGAGTATGTATTTGTGAACAGCCAGTCAGGGCCATAATACAGAACAGCTATTCTGAGCTCTAATACTTAAAGCGTGCTTTTTCTAGTGATTTGTATTTGATCTTACAAATAAATAGCATTTTTATATACCCATTTCCAAATGGGGAATGGTTTTCAGTATCACATTTCAGGCAGCAGCGGGTAGTCTGTCTCATCAGAACAGCACAGACTTGCAACTACGTTAAATACAAAGATCAGAATTTTTTTCAAAAGCTCCTCTTTACTGGATGTTTTCTCTGGTTTGGGTACTTCTTAGGCACAAGGAAAAGAAATTAAGTAAACGCTTCAGAGATACAAAAGAAAAATAAAATAAAAAAAATTACTTACCTATTTGTGTGATTTCCAAATTCACAACCTGTAACAAAAAGTTCAAATTAAACCATTAATACAGCATTTTAATTAGCTGGGGATTACCACCCCGACCCAAAATTACTTGTTCAAATGAACAGAAAACTACCAGATAATTTGAAATATTCAAGATCATCTTTCATTAAGTTATTGTGGAAGAAAGTATCTATTGTTGGTTTGGGTTTTTTTAAGTTTATGTAGTTCTTGTATTTCATGTCCCATACACATACATTTCCATGTGTTTTTTTCTTTCACAGAAAAATGATGCCACTGTCTATACATGTGAGTGAGTGTATGGCAGAGACAAACACAATTGTATGCCTACTTTGATAATTATGAGAAAACCAAATAAATTATTAAATATGATTAACTTATCCTTTTTTTTCCCCACATTTTCAAAATTATTGTTGAATGCACTCCTTTCCGGTTTACTATTGTGGTATATACATTTAAAAATGTGTCAGGATCATGCTGTCTTCCAGATCTGAGTGTTGTAAGAACTCTAAAAATTACTTTATATGCTATTATAAGACATCATTAAAACATTCTCAGCTTGGAAAGCATGAAGAAGAACCTGCTTACAAATCTAGGCAAGATGTGTAAAATTTAAAATGCTATTTAGAAGAAAATGCCTTTTTCAAGAGATTATTTTATAAAAGCACTAGAGGGCATCAAAACTCTATGATGCTGATCATTAAGACCCAGCCTAGAAGTGTATTGAGATGTTTTGAATGAAATAGAAGTAAAACTAAACACTCATAAGGCATATATTGAAAAAAAATGGAATTTTGTTTGTTCAGCTGTCTTTAAAGACAATTCTATAACTACAGGAAGCAACTAGAACTTATTTGCCACAATACTCTTAGCAGAAGGATACCTTTGTTGCCTGTTGCTGCTACCACTTCACAAAGCAATTTGGTTCAGTTCATGTATATATTTTATTACTAATTCCAATAACTTTTCTTAAATGAATGAAAAGAACTTTTTCTAATTCAAGTCACCTAAAAAATGTATGTTTTTCCTTACATTATGATAAATACCTGAGGGCATTATCAGTCTTCTGGCTGGCTGAGTGCACCTGCTGGGTCCTGCTGTAGTTTCCAGGGATGTCTTTACTCTTTTTCCAAAAGCAATTGAATGCAGGAGACGAGACCTTTCGTGGTTGCAATGAAGAAGCGCTGACTCCCTTTCTTTTTGTGTAACTACTGGTAAAAGGGATATAAAAACATTTTTTTCTACCAACTGAAAAGGCTGGTATTATCTATCTGCACGCAGAATCATAGAATGGTTAGAGTAGGAAGGGACCTTAAAGATCATCTTGATGAAGGTGATCCGCTTTTTTTTTGGTGCAGTTTTGTAACAGCAGCAGTGTAAATCTGCAAAACAGCACAACAACTCAAAATGGGAACGTGGAGTGATACTTCCTAAGGCTTTAGGGTGAAGCCCTGTCTTTTGAGTGCAGTAGGATCAGAAGTTTTAAATCAAGAAACCAGAAAGTAAGACTTTTGATACCACTGAAATGAGATCTACTGCACAAGTCAGTAAAGATGTGGAAGTCTCTTTATGAATAGCAAAAACGTGTCCTGGTTCAAAGCCAGTTCAATTCCCATCGCTCAACTACAGAGAAAACTGTAGGAGTGCAATCGAAAGAATAGCTTTAAATTTTCCTGCTTTGCACTTTAATTAAAAAATAACTTTAAATTCTAAACAAAGTTCAAGACTGTTAATTCAAACAGGGGATTTTAACATCAGTGCTACGAGCTGCGTACTGAGCTAGTGCTTCGGCGACGGAACAGAAGTGAGCAAAAGGTTTAGAAGAAGTAACCAAATCTGGCAGAAGCATTTTGAATGCAGGGAAGTTTTTAAGTCACGGTGTCTTGGGGACCAATTAGGAAGGAACTGCAGTAGTCCTGCCTGGAGGTACAGAAGCGTGAGCACGTCTCGCGTACAGGAGACAGCCAGGACTCCGCCGGGGTCATGTTCCACAGACGGGGATGAAGCTTTGTAATGTTAGAGAAATAGTTCATTAAATACAAAGTTCAGAGTGCAGCTTGATAGAAATTAATGCCCCAAGTCCTAATCCAGGACTGATCACAGTATAACCATATCTAGGAGATGAAATCCAGGAAGTTTTACGGAAGTGTTTCCAGATCTGTAAATGCAACACCTATTTTCCAGCACATTAAGCTTCAGTCATCACTCCCTAGTCTAAAATGATCATTAATAAAACAGCCTAAGCACAAAGGTGACTGTGCTTTTCTGAAATACTCTGTTTGAAAGCTTGGTCAGCATGTACCTCATCAAGAAACACTCATATACATATTTAACTATACAGAAACATGTAGATAGCTGAGGATATTAGCCATATCTACAGAAACATGCTCACTATATGAATATACCACTTTGAATGTAGGTACCTGTTTCTAAGCACAGGCTTTTACCTGTCTTACCCAAGACCAAGATACAAGATACACATATACAATTTAAAAAGACAGAAATCAAGAACATTTGGCAAAGTAAACTGTTTATGTCATGTGAACTCTATTTGCTTGACAAATCTGGTAAAAAAAAAAGGTGCCTGTTCATTAAGTATTTCGCTAAATCAACAAACGGATGTAAAAGAACAGGCAACATGAATTCACCTGTTTTCCAAACTGATTAAAACGAAAAGCAAGTGTCAATGCTTGGTGGAAAGAGGAAAGCAATCCTTACACTTCCTGTCCAGGAGCTGCACTGAGGGCAGGCAGTGTATCACATAGAGCCGGTAGTCTCGGTCCTCTGCCAGGGGGTTATGGAATAGGTCTGCAAAATTTATACAGAGAAAAATCAAACAACATCAGAGAAAACCAAATCCAGCAAAAGGAAAACAACTCACTCAGCAAGGCAGGAAAAGTAAAGATCACCAGCAGCCACGGATTTTATACGACATATTATCAAATTCCAATTGTTCTTACACTGGGTAAGCACAGCACAGTCTCGTTACACACACAAAATTACTCCCTGAACACAGAGAGCAGTGGCTTATTGCTGAGGATGCAAAATACCACGGGCAAGAACTGAGTAAAGGTGCCATCACACACTTCAGACCTTTGGAGTTGGAGCCTTCTTTCTATTTTTTATGATATACAGATAAAACCACCAAGTGTTTGCCTTTGATTTTCTCACAGATCGTTAGCTGACGCCTATTTTAAATAATGGTAGTCTTTTAGGTGTGACAGCTTAAAGGTAAGATGTAAAATTTGGAAGGGGAGAGAGTTACTAAAACCAGACGAGCCTTAGGACACCTATTATAGTGGATATGAAGTTTTTAGCCCAGAGACACAATATAAAATGCAAACACCCAGCTCTTCTGATGTTTCCCCACCACCTTTCATTGCGACCCGAGGAACGAAGCTCCAGGAGCTCGTTAGCAACTCGACTAAAATACTTCAGTATTCTTTGTTTCAAGAGAGTAGTATCTGAGGTTGATTAAAATAGAAACTGGCTCATTCCCAGATCAGCTAACGAACAAACAAACAATTGCTGTTGAGGGTGGGCTTTTTTTTCTAAATAAAAAACATAATAATGCTATTTTTCTCCTTAGGCAAATGTTGTTCTTCTAAGTCAGTAAAAATAATCAGAAGGCTGCAACCTTGAGATCAGAGCAGAGAAAAAAATTATCTTAAATTGATAACTTTGACAACTTCTACCAAGGTCTACACTGGTCTGGTTTTCTCTTTTTTAAGAAAGGCTGCAGCTAATATTCACTCCAGGATAAAAAAAAACTGTTATATGTAATTTCAGCAGTTAGGGAAGGAAAGGTGGTGTTAAAGAAGTGAATAAGAGGTAATAGAAGATGAAAAGAGTCTGGAAATATTCCACACAGATTTGTAAACTGTAAGATGCCGTTTCGTGTTCTTCAGGGTGAGTATGACAGGCAAAGAAGGCTCAGCATGTGATGTGATTCAGCAGGTATTCTGAGGGGGCAATAAGGCTGGAATGGGCATTTTGTATCTCCTACACAGAAAATGCCTGTTCATGTACTCAGAGGAGAACTTGAAATATTTTAATTCTCTAATACATTTTTAAAAATCACTGTACTTAAAAGTAGTAAGAGACCCACAAGGTGGCAGCAAAAGAAAGTTCCATTTTTACCAAACCAAGTATTATATAGTTATTTTTTCTAGAAAGTGTTAATCAGAAAGAATATTAGGTATGTATCTGCTAAGTCTGTTCTCAAGTCAAGAATATATATGAAAGCATTCCAGAATGAGAGATGTTTCAGAAAGATGTCTAAAAGCAGGTATGTTTGGTAGTAGAATGGAATGAAGGTTCACGAGAGGCTTTTTCCAATGCACAAACCAGGGCTGACACTAAATACTTCTGAATCTGGATCCTACTTGGAGCACGTCCCCCCTCATCAACATTGATTTGTAGGTTTGTTTTAGAATATATGAATTTTTCTACTCCTGCTTCTTACAATAAATCCAACCATTGTATGGATCAAGATGGACTTATTTTACGAAACATCTGGGATCAATTCTTGGCTCTGCTATCTACTTTTTGTCAAGGTCATGCAATTTTACTTCTACAAATTAGGGATAATGCTTTCTTCCTCCACAGCTTTGTCTGTTTTCTCTATTTGGAGTGTAGGAAAACAGTGTGCCTAACCCACATGGGGCAGAAAGGAACTACTGAGGCAGAAAAATATTGAAGAAGATGTTATCAGCTGTGGATAATAAATCAGTTGAGGCAATTTACAGAGTACCTAACAAAAATCTGGGATTCCAAAAGGGAGATGTGAGCACAAGGTGAGTCCATAAAGAAACCCTCCGTATCTCCCAAAAGGCTGCTGTTGTGAGCAAACCACTCAGGACATCTTTAGAAGCTGAGCATATTCCCTAAATGCCTGACAAAGAACGGTGTCAGGCTACAAACCCAGCGCGGGGCAGTGGCTAAAAGTCACTTAAGAGCCTTAAGGAAGAGAAAGGCAACATTTTGGCAGCTGGATGCTACTTCTGAAGTGAACTGCTCCATTTTAATAGGTCTAATGTCCCCAAAAGCTACAAAATAATAAAGTGTTATTATGCATCAAGAAGTTGTGTTGGAGGCTAGGGAGTGGGCTTTTTTAGTCAGATTGTCCGGCAAGAAAAAAGATCTACCTCACAACAGCGAGAACTCTCCCACTCCCAGCACAGTTTTTATTTTTAATGGGGAATTATGGGGACTTCTCAAAGCTACACAGAGCACATTCTGCACCCTTTTCATATTTCTGAACAGTGCAAACAGGCAAATAAATGATATAGTAATATGATGTATAGGCTTTGAAAATTTATTTTGCTCATTTACTGCTGTCATTTACTTCAAATATGACAGTGCACGTTACTAAAACAGTAATATTCCTGTTAATTTGAGAACTCATTATTACGAAATTTCATTGAAACAACTTCTTTGACAACTTTTTCACAACAGCAAAGGAATGACTATAAAGTTAAGTTATTAAGTTTCTTCCACTGATTAGCGTTTACTTTCATATCTAGAGAACTATTTTTTAGGAGGGTAGATTGGTATATCCTATACATTGTTTGAAAATTCTCATAAACACCTGCCTTTCTCTGGTGGTGGCTGGTACAACATGCAGCATTTTCACTACATCTTTGGGGCTGCCCATCATAACCCCTCAGCAGCACTTCAACTATCTGCTATTTGTCTTTATTTCTCACAGATGGTTGCAACAAGCAGAACAAACTCCCTGTGCTTGCTGAAACTCTTTATTAATTGGTAGGGCTATAACATTAAATTCAAGTGACTGCACCATTCCTACATAGGATGTCTGCCCACACTTTGCCTAATCACTTCCAACACCTTGCATAGAATGAAAAAAATGACAATAATTTGGCTGGCATGTCGTCATCTTGAACACTTGATTTTATTTTAAATTTTGGCCTAGTGTCAAGTTCAATTAAAAGTGTACTTTTTGAGCCATATTTTCCTTTCCTGCAATAGGCATTCAATTTTTTGAATGTATAAGGAGGTACAGCATGGTGACAGTCACCTCTATTAACGGTGTCACTGAGACATGAAAGTTGTTTCCTGTTTTCTCAAAGTACTGAGCGTTTGGCATGACCCATGATGACATTCCTTTAGGAACCATGGAAAAAGACTGCTTACACTTTCACTTTCACTAGGTTAATAGCATATAATCCTACTTTCCCTGGAGGCTAATTCTTACATTGTAACTCAGTGGCGCCAACACAGCCTTGTATAACTTAATTTGAAATTTCAGAGCCTATGCTGCTTTCATTTCCAGCCAGTATATCAAAGAGTATGCCACTTAACAAATATTGTTATACTTAATATCTAACATATATTTATTCTTAGACTCCAGAAATCCATAGTCTGCCAAAAAGATGCAGAAAGCAAGTTCTACAAGCAACAGAATTAACGAGGCAGGAATTTGGGTTCTATAACCTATCACTCACACTCCCAACAGCAATAACATCCGTTTCTCAACTCCCTTCAGCTCTGTGATAATCTCCCTGCACTCCCATGTTCCCTTACAAAAAAGGTAGCAGTGAACTGCTTTGATTGCCTCCAAGCTACTCATCCAGGAGACTGGCTCGCCAGCAGCCAAAAGAAGTTAAACTTCTGAACTCATCTGGCAGTTTTTTCTTAGTTGAGGTACTCTCTGTGGAATTTTTGTGTCTTAAAGATCTCTTTCTTCTGTCAAATTTGGTTGAAATTGATAATTAGCTTCAAAAGCTATTTGCAAATGATGCGGAAACAGACAAGAAACATCCTGATAAGAAACACTAAAAAAACTACTGCTCACTGTTCTGCAAAATAAAAATAATGTATACTTAAGGTCTGCAAGCTCATCATTCCTTCCAGTTCCTTCACTGTCTTGTCGAGTTTTTTTAACTGGTTGTTGTGAAGCAAGAGAATCTGTAACACACACAGGTGTTTCAGAGCACCTGAAATAAAACAAAAACCAATTAATTATTCTCATCATACCTGACTGCCCTTATTAGATAATAAATTTGTGATGCTGCACACTTAATTTGGTATTCTAGCTATCCATCTATGTCTGCCTTTTGGTAATAATTTGCATGAGATTAGTAAAATAAAAATTATCAGAGATTTCAATATCCCTTTCATCTTTCTAGTCACATCCTTTGAACTCATGCCTACCTTTTTTCATTCCAGTTCCTTGCATTTGTCCCCATCACCCTTGCCTCAACAAATCAACACCAACTACACCCTCTCTTCTTTCTCCCTTCCTTCCTCCTATATCCCAGTAATCTTTGATTAATTCACCTTCACCCCCTTTTATCCTTACCTAATACTACCTTTACCTCACAATCCTAAATCCCTAATACTGCCTCTGCCTCACAAGCAACAAATAATGAATTCCTTAGAAAACAGTTCAATTTCAAATAATTAGTAATGTATTAAAAAGTTATTACAAAAATATTGTTGTGGCTTACCCAGACTATGTGTTCACATCCTCACACCACATCAGGCTCAGAGACCTCATTTTGTAAATTCTATACAGTATTTCTCATCCACATTTCTCTACCACTGACACTCGCCCTGCGTTTACCCATATTTTGTTATCTTCTCTATTGTCTCTTGTGCCCATATATCTTTCAAATACCCATTTTTCTCAAAATCTCACAGAAACCAATCAACATTATTTCTCATTCCATGAGAAATGTCCTTTTATAAGGACAGAGAAAAGTTAGAAATTAAAATTTAAAATGTCTAGAATATACACAAATATATACCTCTTCACAGAGGTGACCCTGCCCACGGCAGGGGTG